TTTCCAAATTTTAAAACCGTATAATTTAAAAAAGAAAATTAAATACATTAAAATGTAAATTTGAGTTGGAAGCCCTTTAGGTTTATGTTTACATTCGATATATGTTTCACTTAGCTGGTGGGATTTGGATGATTATTGAGCATTGATTTGGTTTATTTGTTTTTGGTGTGGCCTTTTTTTTTATGTTTTGTTTTGCTTTTTTCAGTTTTGTGTGTGGGGTTTTGCTACTTGCTGGCAGACAGCACCTCCTGCCTTCTCTTGGCCACTTTCTCTTTTTCTTTGCCAGCCTTTCGCTTGCTCACTCACCTGTTCCTGTGATTCTTGTGGTTGTGGTTGTGTTGTGTGCCTTCAAGCCCTTTCCAACTTACAGCGACCCTATTCTGGGGTTTTCTTGGCAACATTTGTTCAGAGGAGGTTTACCATTGCCTTCCCCTGAGGCTGAGAGAGTGTGGCTTGCCTCAAGGTCACCCAGTGGATTTTATTTCCCAGCTGGGAATCGAACCCTGGTCTCCAGAGTTGCAGTCCGACACGTAAACCACTATGCCGTGCTGGCTGGAGATAACTAAATATACTGTACTGCATCAGTTGGCAGACTAAGAAATAATAATCCAAGAGCTCTTGACCATAAAAGCAAGAATGCTCTTGCATACCTTTACTTCTGCTGTGTAGCTCCAGGAATTAGACAAGAGTCCTTCACCACCAAATCCTTAGCCATGTGGGCTCTTAGAGGAGACAAGTATCATGCAGTGTAAATTATAATGTTGTAACCCACCCCGATTGCCGCACAGAGGGGCGGGCTATAAATAAAATTTATTATTATTATTATTATTATTATTATTATTATTATTATTATTATTATTATTATTATTATTAATCTGCTTCACTATTCCTTTTATTGATTGATCTTTCAAGGTTGTTGACTGATCATCACAGACATGGCACACAGTCCTGTCCACCTCTGCTCACATGTGGCTGGGGGCTTTGCTCAATATCCTCTCTGAGGCTGCATCTGCACTTGAGAAATAATCCAGTTTAACACCACTTTCCCTGCCATTGGTACCATTGCCAGCATTCCACAGCACTGAGCTGTGGTATTTGTGGTCTCTTCCAACTCTATGATTCTATGATTCTATGATTCTATTTAAAGTGGCGTCAAACTGGATTATTTCTCAGGTGCAGATCCAGCCTGAGTTTCCACTTTGATCTCAGACAACCTTATTCCCCTCACTAAGATTTCCAGTCAAATCAATGAAACAGTAGAAACGGGGGGAAATGGGGTTCACGGTTGCCTGTATCCAAACTAGAAAGTTGGCCAGATGTGTCATCCATGGAAATAGAGACAGAACACAAAAAAGTTACTTTGTGAAAATAGTTACAGTGCTAGTACCAAATATATGTCTGACATTATCCTTAAATTTTAAAAAGTAACTATTTGCTTTCCCGTTTTCCAAAATTAACTAAAACAATTACATTTTAAATGGTTTTTTTTTGGGGGGGGTGACCTTGGGCAAGTCACACACTCTCAGCCTCAGGAGAAGGCAATGGCAAACCTCCTCTGAACCAATCTTGCTAAGAAAACCCCAGGATAGGTTTGCCTTAGGGTCGCAGTAAATCGGAAAGGACTTGTAGGCACACAACAACAACAACAACAACAACAACAACAACAACAACAACAAACAACCAATTTAAATGCTACAGTTTGCTATAGCACACATTCCTCTCATCTACCCTGTTGTCAGAATCAGCACATGAACCTTCTTTAACATTCAGTGAGGACACATCCTCAGAACTAAAATACTAATACTATAACACTACTACTAATAATGATGATAACAACAAAAAGTTATAGGTACAGCAATGAACCCATGTCCTGTAGTGATGACTAGGATAATGGACTAGGACTCTGAAGACCAGGGTTCAAATCCTTGCTCAGCCGTGGAAACCCACTGGGTGACCTTGGGCAAGTCACACTGTCTCAGCCTCAGGAAGGCAAAGGCAAATCCCCTCTGAACAAATCTTGGCATGAAATTGCTGTGATAGGTTCACCTTAGGGTCCCCAGGCACACCACAATAATAGGTGCAGCTCAAAGAGATGTTATCAGTCTGTCAACTCAACAATGTACTCTATTATTATGCCTTCATTGCTGGAGAAAGGATTTAGTTATAAGCATCTGTAGAGCCATGGAGATTCAAGGGCTCTGTAGCTATATTTTGACATCCTAGATTAGATGGCTATGGCTATCCCTTGTAAAGGCTTGTCTTTTGAATGTATTCTGTTTGAGGAATGTGCTCCAGGCCGAAGGCAGAAACAAATATATGGTGAAAAAGGACTGTTTCTTTTTGAGTTGCAGTTTGCACATTGAGTTGCAATTTGGAAAAGTTATGCGTCTGTTAATGGCCTGGTCCCACTTCCTATCATCTCTCCATGAGATTAGGGGATTATCTCTTCTTCTAATTGATATTTCTGCCCTCCAGCTTAGTTTTCTTCTGTAAGTCTGAGGCTGTGGTCCTTAGGCATGCCTTATCCTTGAGAATAAGCCCCACCAAGCACAGAAGGACTGAATCTCATGAGACATGCATCAGTTATGCTTGATTCAGATGAGATTATCCATTGGTTTGCATTATAAATGCCAATTGCCTTCCTAATGGATTCCTGAAGTGAGCAATATCCGGTTTTTTCACATTGACGCAAACTTTTTCACCAATGATTTTAAAAATGGTACTGGAATTCCCTATGTTTGTACATATGAATGGGGGAAATGCATTGGGAAAAAAATCTAATTTATCATTTTTTTTTTTACTTAGCTTATTATACAATTGTTAGATACACAGATGGTGCAATTCTATACATATGGCTTTGGTGTACTTGCTCCTGGTGTATACAGGATGGCAGCCTGAAAGACTTTTAAGTTGGCAGACAGCAGGATAAAAATTTTGTTTAAAAATGTTGTGTGCCTTCATATGTCAGACACATTTCACATTTATGGTGACCCTGTCACAGGGTTCTCTTGGCAAGATTTGTTCAGAGGAAATTTGCATTGCCTTCCCCTGAGGCTGAGAGAGTGTGGCTTGCCCCAAGATCACCCAGTGGGTTTCATGGCCGAGTGGGGAATTGAACCTTGGTCTCCAGAAGTGTAATCCAACACTCAAACCACTACACCAAACTGGCTCCATAAAAATCTTAGTGAGAGAAAAATGACCTCAAACTCCACTTTCTTCAACTCAACAGCCACAAATGGAAGCAAAGTACTAGAGTCCAAGACTTATGTGTTGTATTTCTAAGAATATATGAAAGAAACAAAAGGTAATGTGAAATTATTTTATGACTCCATCTGGTAGCTTAAAAAGCACTGAGTTTTCCCAACATTTATGGGAATTTAGCACAAAAGTGGATTTTTTAAAAAATCCCGAAAGTGAAATGAAAGTGAGACAGACCTCTTAATTAAGTAGGATAAAAAGGAAGGGTTTGTTGTGTGTAACTTCAAGTTGTTTCCAACTTATGGTGGAGTTGGAGTTTTCTTGGTAAGATTTATTCAGAATTGGTTTGCTATTGCCATCCTCTGAGGCTGAGAGCATGTGACTTGTTCAAGATCAACCACTGACTTGTTCAAGATCAACCATAGTGAGGAACTGAACCCTGGTCTCCAGAACTGCAGGCCAACACTCAAACCACTATGCCATAAAAAGGAAGAGCACTGAGTACCAATTAGATTAGTGTTTTTTGGTGGGGTTTTTGGGCTATGTGGCCGTGCTTTGGAAGGTTTTATTCCTGATGTTTCAGCAGCATCTGTGGCTGACATCTTCAGAGATCTTCTCAGAAGATCTCAGAGATCTTCTCTGAAGATGCCAGCCATAGATGCTGGCAAAACATCAGGAGTAAAATCTTCTAGAACATGGCCACATAGCCCCAAAAAACCC